TTTGATAACTTGAAAGAACAAAAATTCTAAATTGAAAAAAACTTTTGAAAGTTTACATTTTAAAAATTCCTAAATGTCATAACATTTGAAAATTTGAATATTCAAAACAATATTTAAAACTTTAAATGTTCAAAACAACATTTGAAAGTGTAAAAGCTCAAATGAACACCTGGACATTCAAAAAACAGTTTTGAAAAGTAATAACCCAGACGAACCTAAACTAAAATCCTCTCAAATGTTGCTTTAAATAAAACCAGACTTTCAAGCACATGTCCACATGTCTGGAGAGAAAGGTTTGTAGCGGTAGTGTTAATAGTGAAAGCTAGCTAGCGTGCGAGCGGCCGTAATGCTGCTAATCCCCGGCCCGGCTGGCATGAGGAGGGCAGCAGGGGCACTAATGTGTCTTTCACACACTCTCTGACCCGCTGGGTCTTTTAGACCATGAAAAGAGCCATGCGGTCAGTGACTGAGTGACTTGAGTCCTACTCAATATCAAAGAAACATTAACAAGCGAGTATAAAAAGATTTATTCGGACAAAGAGTTTCTATAATGCCCTAGTGGACACCTATAACACCATATAAACAGCATAGCAACACCCTAGCAACCAACTAAAATACCCTACTGGCAACAACATAGTAAATGCACAGCAACGCCCTAGCTCCCACTCAAAATATCATAGTGACCATCTAGAACACCATAGTACCTGCATAGGAACTCCCCTAGCAACCACCTAAAATATCCCAGAGACCACCTAGAACACCATAGTACCTGCATAGGAACTCCCCTAGCAACCACCTAAAATATCCCAGAGACCACCTAGAACACCATAGTTACTGCATAGCAACTCCCTAGCAACATGGCTTTGCAAGCTGCCACTCAAAATATCATAGTGACCATCTAGTATCTGCATAGGAACTCTCCTAGCAACCAACTAAAATTTCCCAGAGGCCACCTAGAACACCATAGTACATGCATATGAACTCCCCTAGCAACCACCTAAAATATCCCAGAGACCACCTAGAACACCATAGTACATGCATAGGAACTCCTCTAGCAACCACCTAAAATATCCCAGAGGCCACCTAGAACACCATAGTACCTGCATAGGAACTCCCCTAGCAACCACCTAAAATATCCCAGAGACCACCTAGAACACCATAGTTACTGCATAGCAACTCCCTAGCAACATGGCTTTGCAAGCTCCCACTCAAAATATCATAGTGACCATCTAGTACCTGCATAGGAACTCTCCTAGCAACCAACTAAAATTTCCCAGAGGCCACCTAGAACACCATAGTACCTGCATAGGAACTCCCCTAGCAACCACTTAAAATATCCCAGAGAACACCTAGAACACCATAGTTACTGCACATCAACTTCCTAGCAACCAACCAAAATATCCCAGAGACCACCTAGAACACCTTAGTTACTGCATAGCAACTCCCTAGCAACAAATTAAATACCACAGTGACCACCTAGGACGCCATATTAACTACATCGCATCTCCCTAGCAACAAAACAAAATAGCGTAGTAGACACCTAGAACATCATAGCTTTGCAACTGCATGGTAAATCCCTACTGGCCATACTGCATAGCAACTCCCGCGCAACCACCCAAAATACCCAAGTGGCCAACATAGTAACTGCATAGCAACTCCCTAGCAACCACCCAAAATACCCAAGTGGCCAACATAGTAACTGCATAGCAACTCCCTAGCAACCACCCAAAATACTCGAGTGGACACCATAGTAACTGCATAACAACTCCCTAGCAACCACCCCAAATACACTCAAAAGCTCTCCCATTTCCTTTATTACATGCATGATGATCTGATTTCTGAAGGCCGTCTGGATTCCTGGAGCGTCAGCATTCCTCCTCCCGCTATTAAAGAGAGGAATGGATTAGCGAAGGCAATAATCTATTAGCAGCCGTGGGCATCAGTAAATCCCCACATGAAAGAGCCCGATGTTCCCGTCTAACGCGCTGTGACAGCAGTATAATGGAGGAACTAAACAAATCCCTGTCGTCTTTTTCAGGGCTTCAGAGATGTGTGGCTGAAGCTCCAGCTATTTGTCTTGAACAGCGAAGGATTTGTACATCCTTATCAAAACTCCTGCAGTTAAACGTGTTCTGTGTGAGCGGGAGGAATGTGCAGACGATATATGATGCTTTTACAGTAGGATGGAAGATGCGTTTAAAGTGTGTTTAAAGCTGGCACAGATACACTCTCCAGCTCTGTGTTTATGAATTATCAAGGCCAAGTAAATATTCCTGCTCAGGTTTATATACATTAATGCACTCGCGCTCATCCGTCAGTCAGATCTGAGAACGGGGAGTTTAAAACATCAGGATACATTAGGCTTGTGTGTTTCAAACTTTTCGGCTACACAGCACCATCCTACTGTAGGCAAAGTGGAGTTTTGTGTATTATATCTAAACATTCTTAAATCAAGATACATTTACTTTATATTCGCTTTATATGCATACTATATACAGTAAAGGTAATTGCATTTTAGCTTTAATTTAATTCAAAAGTGCATTAAGTCCAAGTGCATTGAATAAGGTTAACAGATACAACGTTTGATTTGAAAAATGAATTAGTAAAACATAATATTACGATTAACAAATACTGTGGACATCGGCAGAATAAATGAGGATAAATCTGTCAAACGAGCTTACTTTGCCTCATAAGTTTCATGTTTTGAGTTACAGACTGTAAACAGAAATAAAAAATGCTGTCAAATCGAATAATCGCGATTAATCGCATCTAACATAAGTGTTTGGAAATATTTTGTAAATGTATAGTATGTGTGTGCGTAAATATATACATGTACATACACATGTAAACAGTGTGTATACACAAACATACATTATATTCAATGTTATGTATCACGATTATTCGATTTGACGGAATCGAATAATCGTGATTAATCACATGTATCGTAAACGTTGGTAAATATGTAAAGTGTTTGTAAACACACTCACAAACTTTATGTTAGATGTGATTGATTACGATTATTATCGCGATTAATCACATCTAACGTAAGTGTCGGTAAATATATAATATATGTGTGTCAACACACACACACAAACTTTATATTAGATGTGATTAATCGCGATTATTCGATTCGCCAGCTCTAGTAAACATCCATTGCACACAGGGCTGTGTGTGAAGCCCCACCTCCTCATTTACATACAGCTACAGTTTGAGAAGATCAAGTGTTCAACGCGACTGTTTTTAACTGTTGTAAAAAATGTTTTAGTTGTTTGTATTAAATACCAGGGAATTTGTGTCTCGCTCCCACAGATGCTCCCGGTCCTCTGAGCGTCCGACACGACTCAGGCTCTGATACCGTATCATGTGTTCAGGAAATTAAAATCAGAGGCTGGACAGGAATCAATGCGTCGACCTTATCGACAGTGAGCTGAACAAATATTCCCATAATTCAATTTGAGTCGGTCCACAGCTGAGAATCTGGCCCGTGAAAACAACAGAGGTTAATCAAACAGAGCCGGGCCACATGGAGCCCGCAGGAGGCGGGAGATAGCGCTGCTGTGCGTGGTGCTGGTCTGCAAATGACTGGAAACAGAGGAAAAATGTGAATGTTTTATATTGAGATCATTATATTGACACACAAACACTTTTTTTTTTTTACCTGTTTAGGACTTTCTGAAATAGTCACGTTTAACTCAAGCATGAACTCGTCACTCTCCACTCCACATTCCCATCATGCTTTGCTCTCCAGGTGCGAAACTGAAGGTACTAATTTAACCAGCTGACCAAAGCATTCCAGGTGAGCTTCCCATCAGCCCCAGCTCCTCCCGCACGTGAACACCAGGAAACACACACACACACACGGTCCAGACATCATTTCATTCACAATAACATGATCAGTTCATCACCAGGGTCTGGAATAAACCACAACAACATTTTTTTTATTAATTGCAATGATCATAATCCATCTTACCATTCACACCACATTCCTGTACAGGCCTACTGCATCCTGCTGAAAGCTCAAAATAAATTAATAATAGATATACAATTTTAAACTAAACTAAAACCATTTTGCAGTGTTGAAAACAGCTTGACTCAAAGCCAATGTGAATGTCACTCACTACCAACTAGAAATGCAGGGAAAAAAGGTTTATATAATAATTAGAGATAGTCCCGCCCCCAAACTTACAGGTCACTCGATCATTGATAATCTACCTGAACATTAAAATGACACGCCAAAAGCTATTTGTACAGATTATACATTAATTTTACTGAAATATCTCGAGGGGTATTAAAATATCCAGTATGTAAGGATAATAAACGTGTGTGTGACTCGTGAGCACTTCTGCCTGTCGGAGCAGTTTGTGTTTCAGCGCGTGATTGATGACGCTTCACCCCGTCAAAGGAAGGGTTACGGATCGCGGCAAACAACCGAAAATTATTTCCGTATGGACCGCCATGCTCAGCTCGAGTCTTACATGTTCTCATGTTTACTGCAGCTGACATTCATTTTCTCTCTCTCTGGAATGTGAAGGAGAAAACATTAATTCACATCATGACATGTGACGTGAAGAGCTCGCGTTTCACTGCATCAACACTGCCCCCTGGTGGCCGCTCGTGTTACTGCATGTACATATCCAGAAAAATTAATATCGACACACACACTTGCATTTTACTCTGTACAATGTAAGATCTGTTATGTGTTTTCCCCATTATGTGTTTGTCTTTTGTTGTAAAATGTCATTATAAGCTTTTGTAAAAGTTGAATAAAAAAAAACAAAAAAAAAAACTTGCATTTCAAATTCTTGTTTCATTCTGTTGAATGATATACCTGATAAAACTATAAAGTGTCCATATACTTACAGAAATCCTTACAAATGTAGTCCCCCCACCCCACACACACACACACACACACACACACACACACACACACACACACATTGCTGAATTACATTCTAGGTACAATCCTATGCAACAATTTCCCAATAAAAAACATCCAAAACGAACATATTTCATTTTATTATGACGATCAGCATTAGTACAGTGCTGTAAATCCATTACATTGATACATTCTCAATTACATGTTTACTATAGCACCAAAAATGAGGATTTCATTATAAAAAACACTGGATTACTGTATTGAAAATATCTTTGGGCAACGAGTGGAAAACAAGCTTCGTTTTTTTCATTCCACCAAGATGCAAAACGTCAATCTTCACACTTCAAGTATGAATATTAAAAATACACATTTCACAAAGCTGAACTGTTAATATACAGGTGTAAATAACGTCTACACGACTCTTGGCACACAGTGCATCATATAGTCCTTTAACTTCTGATACAGACCTTATATAGTTCAGTTGTCTATCAACACAATGATAGTCAAAGGTGTGTTAGCTGCTCGTAGATGATCCGTTATAGGCTAAAACCGGCTCAATATCCTTCAACTTATATTAGCATACATTACATAACCAAGCAGACTTTGGTTGAAAGCGGAAAGTCTACTTAAGCATTTAAAATACTAATTCTCAGGTATTTACATACAGTAAAGAAGCATCCAAGTCAAACTAACCGTCCAGCTGGAGGTTAAAGGTCGATTCAGTAGTAAAAACAGCACCGTTACACACTGTAAACCTTGTTAATGACACAAGAAAATGATCAATATTTCATAATACGCGTTCCTGTCATGACGCAACATCACGTATGTACATTTAATTACAGAATAAATATTGTCAAACATAAATAAGGTACAAATGCATGATTATGAGAGGTAGGGTTATGCCATTTTAATTCGATCTACTTTAATCTTCCCTTCTAATAAAACTTCAGTGAAGCTCGTCTGAGCACTAAAAGCACTAAATCTGGCTCATTTAATGTGTCAAATTATGGAATTATATCTGAATGAGGATGGTTATAGAGTCTCCTAACTTGTCTATAAGTTATTAAACGAACCCAGCTGGTTTATTTAATTATTGCTTCGCATTGTTCTGTTATCAATCAGATTACTAACCGATTAAAAAAAGCAAAAGCACATGCTTGATCAGTTTGCTTTCAGCACCGTAAATTATGTCAGCATACTATTAAATATAATTAAAAACTATCATATATTAACTAGGACAATCTTTTACATTTTCAGGCATTTTACATTGAAGACGATCGTCAAGATGAGGAGATTTCAGTAGTGCTAGTCTGCAATGTTTTCTGGATCAAATGTAGAAAACATTCAATTATTTATATTTTCATATCAAGCTGATTGCTGTCGTCAGGCTCCGTTACTCTTAAACGACTCGTTAACAGTGTGTGTTACATGCAGTAGTAGTTCATATCCATCTGGACAAACGGCACATACTGAATTATAAAATATTTAGAAATTGTTCATAAATCCCTTTACGTCAAAAGTCTGCCCAAATAAAGGATTTGAACGTTTGCTACAACCAAAAAAATAAAGATACGCGCTCTTACACTATCGTTGCAACCAAACAATCACAATTTGGTTCAACGTGATCTTGACTGACCAGATCATTAAATAACAAATCAGTTCTGCATCCTGCATCCTGGTTCTGGGAGAAACTCACTTATTTGGTTCTCTCGATAGTTTTGGGACGTTGAAATGCTTTGCGAAGGCTTACCGTAGCTGCCAGACGTTAAAGAGAGACGCATAGTGAACGCATTCACGAGAACACGAAGGACAAAGTCATGTTGATGTTTCTCTCACTGGATTTCGACAGAAAGTCCAGTATGAGGATGAGGAAGACATTTCCCACAGAAGCCCCCGCAGCGCCCGTAGATTCTGCTGCCGTCCTGCGAGACGCGGGAAAGAAACAATACAATAAAGATTATTAAATCCCTGCATACAGCAACAACAATCATTTTAGTCAAAATGGCTATCAAATGCAATCACTTGTAATATGATTAAATTGCTTATCATTTTTAACCAATAGATGGCGCTGTTACCAAACTGATTTTCGTGCATTATCTTGGCATCATGACATCACCATTTGAGAATGGTTTGCAAGTTTTTGTTGTCATGGTCTGAAGAAAATCTGAGTCGAATTTGGTTAAAAATCAGACAAACAGTCTTACAGCATTTTACAACAAATTCAAAATGGACAATATGGGAAAATTGTGTATTACTTGACTCGGTATGCTGCCGTGAATAAAAAAAAAAAAACCCCAAAAAACAGTTTTATGATTTTTGCCCAAACTGTTAAGAAGTTATGAGGAGAAGAATATTATAGAAGTTAATATCTCCTGACCAGTCGGTGGCGCTGTGCTGAAACTCATGTATCCTCAGGTTATGCTTGTGATGACATATTCGTCTCAATATGCCAAAGAGTTGCGGAGATACAGCATTACGGCCATTTTGACGTGCTCTTTGTTCACACGTTATTGGAGAATGGTTTGGTTTATCAAAAAGCATTTAATAACTTCAGGACGGTCTGAAGATGATCTGTTCCAACTTTGGTGAAAATCAGACAAATCGTAAGGGATTTTTTGTGTGTGGAAAATTTAAAATGGCCCTTACAGCTCAAAAGTTATTATAATAAACGCAAACTATAATCAGAAACTCCGACAGTAGGTGGCGCTAGAGGGATTGAGTCAGAGACTCCAAATTTGCTGTGGTTAATGTTCAGTCTGTCCTCTTGACATAGACTCAAGAGCGGGAAAAGAAGAAGAAGAGGAAGAAGATGACGACCATCTATAACAATAGTCCCGTGTTTGATAAAGTCATGTGGTTTCTCACCTCTGAGCGGTGAACTTTGAGTGTGACGTAGTTGCCTTGAGAAACCCATTTAGTGGATTCTGCGACCTTCAGTCCCGTTCCACTGAGATTTATGCTGAACTGACCCTAACCAATCAGAGAAGAAGAGACAATTAACACAAACTTTCGCTGACCATTTCACTTCTGTTACAGGATGTACACTACTGACCAATTAAAAAATGTATTAATATCCCCACTGATAAACCCCCCGCCAAATCCAGCATAAGCTGGTCGGCTGGTTTTAGCTGGTCTCTCAGGCTGGTTTCAAAGGGGTTTTGGACACTTTCTTCGCTGGTCAAGCTAGGAGACCAGCTTAAAACCAGCTAAAACCAGCTTGGCCAGCCTGGAAACTAGCTTAAACCAGTTTGGCCAGCCTGGAGACCAGCTTAAACCAACTAAAACCACCTGGAGGCCAGCTTAAACCAGCTAAAACCAGCTTGGCCAGCCTGGAGACCAGCTTAAACCAGCATATACAACCTGGTTTCAGCAGTGTAATTAATGCTTTCCAGCTTAGGCTGGTTGACTGGTTTAAGATGGTCAAGTGGCTTCTAAAACCAGCCTGCTAAACCAGATGGAAGATCAGCTAAGACCAACCAGCTTTTTTTAGGGGGGTTTATTCATCAAGGACACATTAAATTGATCAAAAACGGCATTAAAGAAATTTATAATGTTAAAAGATTCTATTTTGACCTAAATATGACTGCTTTCAACACTGATAATAATCATAAATGTTTCATGATCATCAGATCATCATACGAGAGTGATTTCTGAAGGATCATGTGACACTGAAGACTGGAGTAATGATGATAAAAATTCAGCTTTGGTCAGAGAAATAAATTACACTTTATTATATATTCACACAGAAAACAGCAGATTTACACTGGAGTAATATTTCAGATTTTTTCCTGTATTTTTGGAGCAGAAGAGACTCTTAAACATCAGTGTTCTCCCACTGAGCTCATCGATTAGCCAGTGGAACTCTAGCGCTGTACCTGAGGACATTTAGCGGCGCTGTAACAGTCTCCAGCGGACGCGAACGGCACCGCGCGACCAAACAGCGTCTGACTGAACCTCACATCAGCCGCTGAAACACAGTAAACACAATCAGAAGTTAAACACAATCAAAACACAATCAGTTTACTGTTATACTGTAATATTTATTTATCTATACACACATGATTTTTTATGTTATCTGTATAATGTTAGCTTTGACTGCATGTGTGTGTGTGTGAGGTACAGGTAACGCACTGATGATGCGCAGGGTGGGCAGATGGAGCCGCACGCGCTGGAACACGGTGTAACCGGCCGAAGCGTAGTCGTTCCTGCACTCGCAGTCCTGCCGACGGCTGCCGTTATACGGGCACTCGAACGGGTTCTGGAGCCTGAGGAGAAACGGGAATACATCTGTTTCCTCAGTGGACAAGAGTTTGGAGCAATTAATTCAATCAATCAACTTTATTCCAGACACAAAGGTCCATAGAGACAACACAGTACAGATATTTAAATAAATAAATAACAATACAAACAGTTAAAAACAGTAAAAAAAAAATAATAATAATAAATAAATAAATTTTAGATGTTTAAATGTGGTCTTATTTGAACAGAAATACTGTAAAAATGATGTAAATCATCTGTTTTCTATGTGAATATACAATGAATTATTATTAATTATTGTATTATTGATTATTTTGATTATTAGTTTTAATTAAAATGATATTTTATTTTGAGCCAGCGCTGCAGTGTGTTCAGTGCTCAGTGTTTCTCAGGTGTGTTTACCTGTACCCGTACACCTCTGAGTAGTTGTCGGTCTGGCCGCTGCGCAGCGTCACGTACTCCTTCGGGAAAGCGCTGTGCATCTCGGCACAATAAACGCGCAGGATCTTGGAGCGAACTGTGATGTGATGTTCTCCGTCTCTCCTGACGCCTCCCTTCACCTGGAGCTGCCGGCAGCTGGAGTGGTGTTCACCTGAGCAACACACACACACACAAGTGAGCTCACAGAGTCTCCACGAGTGTGAAGCTGCGTCTGCCTCAAACTCACAGTCGGTCTGCCTGCAGGTGGCGCTGGACTCACACACACAAACAAACACACACACACACACAGTAGACTAGACTGACTTATACACACACACACACACACACACACAAACACACACTCACAGTCGGCCTGCCTGCAGGTGGCGCTGGACTCGGGCCGGCTGGACGATGAGCAGGTCTCAGCGCCGACACACTCCACCTTCCTCCGCATTACTCCAGCGCCGCACGTCTGAGAGCACTGAGACACAACACACACACGTCAGGCCCATAGCACACAGAGAGCGAGCTTGTGTATTGCATTACAATATTTTTGTGTTACTCCCAAAAAAGTAACTAGTTGCGTTACTTGGTTACTTTCTATGGAAAGTAATGCATGTTACTCAGTTACTTTTTATGAAAAATAATGCGTTACAATATTGCGTTACTTAGTTCCTTTTTATGAAAAGTAATGAGTAACATTACTTTTCCGATACTTTTTCTCACCTGTGCTTTTTTAAAACAACAAGAAAAGTCCTGTTTTTGGCAAATGTTAAGGTCGTTTCACCTCAAGTTAATAGAAAAAGTAATTGATTACGTAACTCAAGTTAGTTCAAAAAGTAATCTGATTATGTAACTGCAATCTGATTATGTAACTCAAGTTTCTTGAAAAAGTAATCTGATTACGTAACTCAAGTTACTTAGTAATCTGATTACGTAACTCAAATTACTCGAAAAAGCAATCTGATTATGTAACTGTAATCTGATTACGTAACTAAATAATCTGATTACGTAACTCAAGTTACTTGAAAAAGCAATCTGATTATGTAACTGTAATCTGATTACGTAACTGAATAATCTGATTACGTAACTCAAGTTACTTAGTAATCTGATTATGTAACTCAAGTTTCATGAAAAACTAATCTGATCACGTAACTCAAGTTACTTGTTGGCCCTCACCTGACTCCAGGGGCCGGCGCTCCAGGCTCCAGCTGATGGACAGGCTGGGAGTCGACAGGGTCTGCTGTCGATCGGCCGGCGCTCGCTACACTGAGAGAATGACTGCAGGTCAGACGTCAGCTGGAGGTCAGAGGTCACGGCAGAGCAACGAACCGCCCGGCGCTGGAGTCCAGAGCCGCAGCTCACCGAACACTGAACACACATCAAACACCCTCATCATACAAAAGCACTATAATGCGTAAGTGTTACCATGAATTTTTACAATTATTTGTATAACAATTATTTTATTAAATAATTAATTAATTAATTAAATATTATTATTTAACTAACTTTATTAACTAATTATTAACTAATTCAGATTTCTTTTATTTATTTATGTGAATTGCAGCAGCAAATGAAGGATTTCATTAATTTAATATCTATTATTTAAATTTTGTGTCACTTTGACGGAAATGAAGGAAGTCCATTACTTTAATTTTTATTTATTTATTTATTATTTGTTGTGCGTTTTGTGTGAAATTGAGTAATTTTAACATGTATTTATTATTTTATTTTATATGAATCAGAGCAGAAAGAGAAGGGATTTAATTAATCATTTATTTATTTTATTATTTATTTAAAACAATTAAGTGGAATTTGAACAAGTGAAGCTTTTTATTTATTTGAGGGACAAATTTCATTATTTATTTATTATTTAATTTTTTTATTATGTATTTATTAATATTTTTAAATTTCCTTATTTTTATAAATATGAATGTATTAATTTTTTTCTGTAAAATGGCACAACAAGTAGTAAATTAATTCATGGATGTATTTTTTTATGAATATGAATTTGAACAGCAAGTGACGAAATGTATTTATTCTAATATTTATTCATTTTTTATGTACTTGTATGGGAAAAGCAAGTAAAGAAATTGCATTATTTTAATATATTTTTATGTTTTTTTGTGACGGAGGTATTTCAGTTATTCATTTATTTTACTTCTTTTTTTGTGAATTTATTTAATATGAATCTGAAAACTGTCATCATACATCAACATTTGTGGTCACTACATTATTGCCACACTTCCCTTTGATAGTTCATGATTTTGCTCTGATGTCAGAATCAGTGTGACTGAAGCATGAGAAGCTCAGGCTGATGCTGTGATTGACACACACACACACACACCTGACTCCAGGCTGCAGTGACCCACACGTGCTGACAGGTGGCGCTGTGACAAGGCTCGTATGTGTGAGGTTTGGCTGAGACGTCACACAAATGATCAGGAACCACGCTCATCCCTCCGTCCAGACAAATCACTGACCTCGACCTCATGCCTCGTCCACAGGTGGCGTTACACTGGAGACACACACACACACACACTCATATTATTATTATATTATTTGATCTGTCAGTCAAACAGATAGTCCCGCCTACAACTCTGTTGATTGGTTAAGAAGTCAGAACTCTAAAATTAATAATTGCCATAGTAAATCATCTGCTGGTATTTAAGGAAGGATGAAGTGTTGAGATCCTCCAGACGAGGGCGCTGTTGCACCATCACAGCTCACACACACACACACACACACACATAAACAGCAGAAACATCACTCAGCTGTGTTATATCTGAGCCTGTCTGAAGTCTGAGCTGTTGCTCTGGAGATGATCTTATCCCACAAGCCCTCAGCCGAGGGTCACGGTCACATCTCCTGAGCTAGGATCAGCGAGATCAGGCAAACAGCCTTTCTTTCCTTACACACATTTTTACAATACTTTCCCTCTGATTTCGGGTTGAAGTGGGACTTTTATTCTTGATTTTCTTTGATCTTTCTCTACACTGAAAAGAATGTGGAAACAATTTTCACACTGCACACAGTGTTTTAAATTTAAAAATTTGTATAAAAGCATCTATATATATATATATATGTGTGTGTGTGTGTGTGTGTGTGTAATAAAAAAGAAAATAAAAAATGATGTTTTTAAATTTTAAAAACATGTAATAATAATAATAATAATAAATAAATAAATATTACATGAACAAACAAACAAACAAATAAATAAATCTTGATCTGCTCAGGCTGGGAAATCCCCTTATCAGCATGAGTGTAACGTGTGTGTGACTGTGTGTGTTACTCACGTCCCGCCACTCATGAGCCATCCAGCTGTGTGTGTGACACCCGGCGAGGAAGCAGGGGCGGATTGACACGGGACGCACACGCTCGTCACACAGGTCATCCCTGACCTGACCTCTGACCTTTAACCTGCAGAAGACCTCGCGGGACTGAACGCCAGCGCCACAGCTCACCGAACACTGCACACACACACAAGCGCATGATTACGAGACGTCTGTGTTACAGCACTGGTGTAGTGTGTGTGTGTGTGTGTGTGTGTTCTTCCTCTGAGAGGTCATGATTGCTTCCAGACGTGGGGAATGACGGGGTTAAACTGGACGACCCATGTGACCCAACACCTCAGCCAATCAGAACACTGGGTGGATTCACTACATCTGGGGTGCGTTTCCCAAAAGCATCGCTGGCCAACATGATCGTAATCTCCACTGAACTCTGCTGCCCAGTCGGCCACGGGAAACTATTGCACTCACTGCCATTAATCAGATTAGAAAACTCACAGATTGTGTCTAGTATTTGACAAGGGGAAAAAAATGCGTTTAGAAAATATTAAAATATAATATATTTATTGGAAAAATATGTGTTTTTAAAATGGAATAATACGGAAAGACCAAAGAATAATTAAAATAAATAAAACCATCTCGAGATTAAAGTCAATATAATGCGAGATTAAATTCGTTAAATTATGAGAGAAACAGTCAAAATGCAATATCGAGAATAAACTCATTACATTTAGAGAATAAAGTCGTGTTTAAAAACGTAAATTTTGTTACAGTTTTATTTAGCATTTTTAGAAAAGTTTAAATTTAGAAAAAAACTGTTAAATTTCGAGAAAATAAAACGTTGAGAATAAAGTCGTTTGAGAAAAAAAAATGCGTTCAATTTCGCAAAAAAAAAAAAAAGTAGAACTAAAATGTAGAGAATGCTGAATGGAGGACATGATGGATCACTTAGTTTAGACTTCTATAACCGGGTCTGTTCGTTCTTGGACTACTGAAGAACTTTTGATATGACATACAGCACTATTGCAGATATTTATTTATCATTGCTCGGCTTCCGTAGGAAAAATTTTCAGTTTTTGTATAAAAATATATTTTATGCCAGTAAAACACATGTATAACAACAACAACAACAACAAAACATATAAAATAAACTGTATTGAATTGTTTTCTGACAAACAGGAAGTGAGGTCACGCACCGCTCTCCACTGATTGGCTCTCCATCTGGGGCAGGGTCCCGCCCTGCAGGCCTTCTGTGTTCTGGGCCGGTTCTGATGTGCGCAGGCCTCGTCCTCCATCTGGGTCTGATTCTGGTCCACACACACGATCTGTCGCTCTTTTATTCCCTTCCCACAGGACACCGAACACTAGAGAGAGAGAGAGAGAGAGAGAGCATCAACAACAGTGTGCAATTCATACCTCATTCATGTCTTTTTCCCAGGCGATGGGAACCACAAGCCACCGTGTTCTGCAAGCGATGGGCTTAAACTCAGACCAGCGAAACCATCAACACTCATCTGGAACCAATAACACAGAACATTCTGCAGAGGAACAGAGGAGACATCCAAATCTGGACATGAGGCACTACGAGACTCACATCTGGGAAACGACATGCATTAAAGATTCAATTAAATTTAATTAAATAATTAAATTAAATTAAAATTGAAACAACGTTAGGTAAAATCAAATAAATATAATTTTTACATTTTTAAATAAATATTAGACAGCTTATTACTGGCACTTGTGTACAAGTACTGTATGTTCATTCACTAATAATAAAAAATAAAATATAAAATGCCAAATGAAACAAATGCAAAATAAAAAACAATAAGGCATGACATAATATTGATAATTTTGGTATAAAAGCATCTGTGTAAAAGTTCTGTGTTCATGATCTCCTAATAAATAAAATAAAAATCAATTAATATAGATATAAAAAATAAATAAATATAATCCTGAATGCAATTAGGGGACCGTAAAAAATAAAAATAAAATAAAATAAAAAATAATTGTATGAAGCCTATTTTAATGCTTAAATAGTTTATATTAATATATATTAAATAAATATATAAAATGTACAATAATAATATAATACATATTTATGTAGTTTATAAGAGTGTGTGAAGCAGGGCGGGGCCGAGAGCTGTGGGAACGGAGCGAGTGTTAATGAAACACCGCACTCTAGTCCCACGGCGGAGCTCAGGAAGGACAAAAGCAGAGAATCGTCAGGCAAGGACGAGAGAGGACTAGATATTATTTTATTAGGAGGACTGGTTTTACTTTTCATTTTGAAATTAATATGAGCTGGATCTTCTTCAGTTGCCAGTTTGGACTTCAACAAAAGATCCCAGTATCTGTTTCCACGTCATGGAGAATAAAAGAAACAGGTCTGAGCAGCACTAAAGAACATCCACACACACACACACACACACACACACACATCATAAACAAGGTCATTACAAAGGTATTTTAAACACAGGGCTGCAGTCTGCCAGCAGCACAACACATCAAAGACCACACAGATAAGTGAGCAACCATCAGATACACACACACACACACACAGAGTAATGGGCTCGGGTAAACCACTCCTCAAAACTCCTAAAGGAAAATAGGAGGAGAAACGGGGAAGAGGAGAGACGGCTGAGAACAGTTAGTAGTTACTCAGCTTTATGAGGACACACAACTGAAGGATGATCTTCATCTTCATCAGAGGACAGAAGAGAGAGAAACAGGAGAAAAGAGGAGATACGGAAGAATCAGGAGGAGGGAGGAGAAACAGGAGAAATGGAGGTAAAGATGAAGATGTTTACTGCAGAAACACAGCATGATACACACACTGATCTGCAGTCACACTTCTAATGCATGAATGTGTGTTTATTTCTCATCATCTGACTTTACTGAGGCTTTACTGAACCCGAAAGTTTATTTAAAAAAAAAAATACATATATATATATATATATATATATACATATATACAATTTTTTTTTTAATTTATCCTAATTTAAATGATTTTTTTTTAGAATAAGATTTGTTGCCTTTAAAACTTAATTTGTTATATCTAGATTTAGATATAGATATATTATATATTTGTATTATATATGAAGAGTTCAGATGCAAAAGCCTCTAAATGCCATTTGAAATTTTCTTCTTTAATGATGATTTTTATCAAACTTGTATATTTAAGTTCAGTAATTTCACTTAAATGGCAATGATAATTACCTATTAATTGTTATTTAAGTGAAATTACTGAACTTAAATATACAAGTTTGATAAAAATCATCATTAAAGAAGAACATTTCAAATGGCATTTAGAGGCTTTTGCATCTGAACTCTTCATATGTTTTTATTTGTTCAGACAGGAAACAAAAATGTGCTTGTCAAGCGTATCAGAGTAAATAATGTCAGACTGTTTATTACTCAGACACCAAAAAATGCATGTGGTCCATAATTAGATCCATGTGTGTTTGAACTCAGATTTGTGGAAACGAGTGTTTTCTGTGGATGTATCATCAGTTCTGCTCACCGGTCCCCTCAGAGAAACTCGTCTGTCTCAACAGTCACTCATTACTTTTGTGAACAGAACATTTCTCAAAAGTTCAAACAATCTACAATAAATCTATTTTCCATATATATATATATATATATATATATATATGAAGAGTTCAGATGCAAAAGCCTCTAAATGCCATTTGAAATTTTCTTCTAAAATGACCATTTTTATCAAGCTTGTATATTTAAGTTCAGTAATTTCACTTAAATGACATTTAATAGGTAATCTTCATTGCCATTTAAGTGAAATTACTGAACTTAAATATACAAGCTTGATTAAAATGATCATTTTAGAAGAAAATTTCAAATGGCACTTAGAGGCTTTTGCATCTGAACTCTTCATATATATTGCAGTGTATATAGAATCATTTTGTTTAATTTTTTACTTAAATTGTATTAAATTAATACACATTTCATTTAATTAAAAATATATTTACATTAATATGAAATGACATTAAATATAAATTAAATATTTACATTTTATAAATTAAAAATGAAATCGAATAATCTAATTTGTTGATTTTAAATGTAATTAAATCAATAATAACGAGTGATCAGAAACGGCATCATGTCATTATTAAACAGACTCGTGTAAGATAACGCAGATACTGACGACACCGAACAGATCAGATTCATACACAGATCAGATTAAGCACGTGATGTGTGAAGTGTTTCCAGGACTGGTTTAGATCTGAAGTGCTGACGTCACGGTGAGTTCAACAAAAGAGTTCACAGAGTGTCAAGAGCTCACCATGATTATAAATGGATATTGAAGAGCATATTTCAGCACACTTCTCATAGCTGAGATTCATTCCCGTTGCAAAGCACATGAGGATCAAGGGTCTGCATATGAAAACCACATGAGAGGATCAGACTCTTCAAAGATCTCAGTAAATGTGAAGCCGACGTTCACCACACACACACACACTGATCATCATAAACACACGCTCTGTCTGAGAAGTGAACGTGAGACGACAGCTGGTGAGATCTGCACATCAGTAAATCACCACACACACACACACACAAGAGGAGAACGGACACACTGCGATAAAACTCTGTAAACTCAAACTCACAAAAACGTACACTCCTGTAAACACGTCTGAACTATCATTATAGAATTCATACAACACCTTTTTGAAAACAATAATTCATGGAGTTCATGGAGAAATGTTTGAGGAAAACCTTTCAGTGTCACCGTTACATCAAATTCCACTTAATAAAATGACATAATCCTTAAAATTATATAAATCAGTGATTTATATATTAAATAAAAATCATTAATTAAATATTTAACTATCTAAAATATTATTTAAACATTTATATTATTTAAAAAATGTAATAATATACAAATAATTTCTTTTTTTTACATTTTATTGTAAAAAATTATTATAATATGAATAAAATATAAATTATACATTTGATATATTCTATCTCTATTTATATAGAATATTATATTATATAAAATAAAATAATTTGCATAAGTATATATATATATACTATTTTGATATATATATATATTACAAATATATTTATAATTTCTTAAATTATTTAATTTTAAACATTTATTATAATACTGGTACATAAATTATAATCTATAGAGAATGGAAAATAATTTATACAAATTCGTATTCAATGACATTATATATGTTTTTTTTCTATTTTGTTATAATTTATTATTTAAATATTTCATTTGAAATATAATTTTAAATAATAATAATTTATTATTATTATTATTATTATATGTCTTTAAAGCTCAGGTGAAGTTGCTCTTATATCTTATTTGTATGTGTGTTTCGGGAGTGAGTTGAAGTCAAAAACCCATGACTTTAATACGTCATGAACTCATTTCTCCATCAGCAAGGTTTTGTGTGTGTGTGTGTGTGTGTGTGTGTGTTTACTCCTTCAGACATGAAGTGCTGCGTTTGTTCAACCATATTTGGCCCTGGAGTGAATCTGTGTATCTTGAACTCATCACATATTTAGAGTCCAGACCGGAATAGTTTATGCTTCAAGGATACGTCTAAATGAGTCCAGAGTGAATCTTCCTCATATTCTGCAGCCATTATAGGAAACACAATATATCCAGACACGTTGAGTCAGTCCAGTATTTCAAATAGCTTGCCATATTTATATTCTCGTATTAAAATGATCAACTGATTCCTAAACAAAAAGCCAACAATCATTTTTATACTATTGAAGTATTTGCAGTCTTTGACTCGTTTTGTGTGATTGAATCTGATGGTATAGTTTAATCATTCCACACAGCCGCGGATGAATCACTGACTCAGATAAATCATGACTCGGATGAATCATGACTCAGATGGATCACGACTCAGATGGCTCATGACTCAGATATATCACTGGCTCAGATAAATCTCTGACTCAGATGAATCATGACTCAGATGAATCACTGACTCATATGAATCATGACTCAGATAAATCATAACTCAGAAGAGTGTGAACGATTGATATGGACAGATCTGGGATGCTTTTCTTTACCATTTGGGATCCAGACGAGAGCAGGACTGGACCGGGACTAAACCACATGAATCTTCAGTTCTAGACAGGTTTACAGTTGTTAACCACTTAAACAACATGTTTTCAACGAAAATATTGTTCAAATATATCACATTCCAGTGTATAAATGATCTTTCAGTGAGATGTTGTTCGGCTGCAGTACCGAACGCTTCCACTAGAGGAAACTCGTCTCATTCATTTCCAATGAGTCATTTCTGACTGCAAGGAGCACAAGTGTGACTATTTTTTTTTACAGGACCATTAAACCTGTTCAAATCATGTCCATGATATGTGTGTGTTC